GTGCTGGGGGGTCGGGGCGGGGGGTGACGGTGAGACGGTCGGCGCGAATAGACAAGTCACGTATGAGTGCGTGGCCATATGCCTGCTCGCACAGCTGTTTTCGGAGACCTGGCCGCTCTGTACATGAAAGGGATCCTGCTGCACTAATGTGGCGCCGCAAAGCGAAGTATCCGCACGCATCCATGCACCGTGCAGCGCTCGCCCGGGTGAGTCCACATGATATCAAACAAACTTGCCGCCCCGCCCGCCGCCCGCAGGGCATCAGCGACAAGCGGCTGCGTGCGTACATCACGCTCCAGGCGGCACATGGCATGGAGTACCTCCACCTCAACTACATGGTGCACTTTGACCTCAAGGTGGGGGAGGCCATGCCGGCCGCAAAGCAAGGCTGCCGCAGGACGGTCAAATGAGGGTGCATGCCCGAGCTGCCCGTCGTGCGTGCACTGCAGCACCAACCAGACACCTGCACTTGGTCAAACCCCCGCCCCCTGCAGCATGCATGAGTCCACGATGCGCCCTTGACAAGCTGCATATGTCGCCTGCGACCAACTCGCTCTGAAATTGCACCCTGTTTGCTGCAGTGCGACAACCTGCTGTGTGATCTGCGGGATCTCAACAAGCCGGTGGTCAAGATCGGGGACCTGGGGCTGTCGAAAACAAAGAAGGGCTCCTTTGTCAGTGGCAACATGCGAGGGACGCTGCCGTGGTGCGCGTGGGGCGGGGCAGTGCGGCGGGGAGGGGATGCGGGAGGGGGGGGCGAGGCGTGGGCAGGCCGGGACAAGGGGCAGGCGGAGGGGCGCCCAAGTGAGGGCGGAGGTCTGCCTGGGCATAGGTTTGGGCGGTGGCTGCGAGCGATTGGGCAGCGCAAGGGAGAGGGGACGGCTGGGTGGGTGTCGGGCTGGAGGGTGGGGTGAGGGCCGGCGTGTGAGGCTACTAATTGTGCGTTGGCTTCCGCCATGTGTGTCTGCCGCCGCAGGATGGCCCCGGAGCTGTTCCCGTCGGTGCCGGCGGCGGTGTCCGGCGTACACACGCGCAAGGAGGCGGAGGACCGGGTCACTGAGAAGGCGAGCGCGCAAAGGGGGTTGGGGGGAGCAGCTGCGGTCCTTGGCCCAAGGAGCGGGCGCGCAGTCACCAGGCCTGAGCGTCGCGGCAGGCGCGTGGCTCTTGCGCAAGAAGCCAGGGGGCACCATGGGCTGCTGTCTGTATGCAATACGGGTCGCTTGACCCTTTTCTGTGGACCCCGATCTGGTCAAGGCCGCTCGGCCCCCTAATCTCTGTCCCCCCGCAAAACCCTCCCGCCAGGTGGACGTCTTCAGCTTCGGCATCTGCATGTGGGAGATCTGGACCCTGGGGGAGCAGCCCTACCCGAACCTCAGCCTTCAGGAGATATTCGCGGGCGTCATGACAGGCACGCTGCGCCCCGGGCTGCCCGCCGGCTGCGACCCCGCGTGGGCGTCGCTCATGCAGGACTGCTGGCAGGGCAACCCGCGGCTGCGGCCGACGTTCATGGAGATCATACACAGGCTCGAGGCCATGCTGCAGCGGTGGGGCGCGGCGGCGGCAGCAGGAGCGGGGGCAGCGGCGGGGGCGGGGGCGGCTGCGGCGGGCGGCGGCGGCGGCGTCGCCCTACAGGCGGGCGGCGGACCCGGTGGGAAGTGAAGGGGGCCGCGCTTCAAGCAGGGCTTCCGAGGCATTCTGCGCGGCGCACAGGGTTGGGGTTTATGAGGGTTGCTTTGCTGTGCTCAACCCGCCGCCACTGTTCAGCCGACTCTCTCGCGACATTCCGCCCAGGCGGTGCGGGTGCGCTGCCGTTTTTCCTTGCTGCGCCGCTTTTCGCCCCACACGACCCTTTTGGCGGCAGATTGTGTCAAGACACACTTGACGCGCAGCTCATCTTGTGCCGCAATCACCGCCCTTCCTTCACCCCTTTACTTATTTCTGCCTGTATGATGTCACCTGCAACGTGCGTGGGAGCCGTCGGAACCGGCTGCCTAGTAAGCCCCTGCTCAACCGCCATCACCACCCTTGAATGCCTGAAATGTTACACGCATTGCGCAGGGCGCATGCCCAAATAGGTTGCCCACATCAGACGTGTTGCGGCCCACAACATCAAGGGTCGCAACAGGTCAGGGACGGCATGCACATGTTTGGAACAGCAGCAGACAAGCTCGCGCCCAGGTCATCAAAGGTCCAGCAATGTCAATGTCGCGGCCAGGTCAACGCCCGCCCCTGCGACACCAGCGGCTGCTCCAGGGGCGGCGGCCTCCAGCTCCCGCAACCGCGCCTGCGCAGCGGGTTGGTGCGAGGCGAGGCGGGGGGGGGGGAGTTTGGCCCCCATCCTGCTTGCACACGCGCTGGAGTAGCCCAGCGCACAGGAAAGCCGGGGCATATTCGCAAGCAAACCCATGCCTGCGTCACCCTATCCCACCAACAATTCAAGCCCAAAAAGACGTCACCAGTGAAGCACCGGCAGCCTGGCTCTTCCAGCCCAGCAGCCCCACACCTGCAGCCGCAGCTCCTCCTCCGCCAGCTGCTGCCGCTGCACCTCCACCTGCGCGGCCAGCCGCCGCGCCGCGGACAGCGCCGGCGCGATGGACGCCTCCGCCAGCTGGCAGAGCGACGCCTGGTGCACGCCCGCGTCGTGGAGCCGCGCCAGCAGCGCGGCGGCGGACGGCGGCTGCTGCGGGCGCGCGCCGCCGCCGCTGCCACTGCTGCTGAGCGAGGGACCACGGAAGAATGCGTGTGGGAGGGGGGACGATGAGGGGTGTCGATGCGCGCCGGCGGCAAGAAAGCAGACAACTCAAACAGCGCGGCCGCCACATGCGCCGCCACCCCCGCAGCACCACCCCCCCGGCCCGCGGCCCCCTGCCCATGCCGCGCACCCGGCGCCCGGGCCGGCGGCGCGCCGCTGCGCGTGCGCCTGCTGCTCCTCCTGCAATATGATGGCCTGGACCTCTGCAAAATCGCCCATGTGCGCGCCGGGGCTGGCACCCGCAGGTGCGAGTGCGAGCGGCACCTCCTTGCGCACCCAGCCGTCGGCGCGGCCGCCACCGGCGAGGGACTCTGGTGGGGTGCGGGTGTGGGGTGTGGGGCGGGGTCGGGGGCGAGGTGTGGGGTGTG